CAGACTCTCACACACACTCACACACAGAGAGGCGAGCCTCGTGTTCCCACGTGTCTTCCCTGTCGTGTGAGTGTCACACACACACAGAGACTGTCACACACACTCACACACACACTCACAGACACACTCACAGAGAGGCGAGCCTCGTGTTCCCACGTGTCTTCCCTGTCGTGTGAGACACTCACAGAGACTCACACACAGTCACACTCACACACAGACACTCACACACACTCACACACACACACAGAGAGGCGAGCCTCGTGTTCCCACGTGTCTTCCCTGTCGTGTGAGTCTCTCACACACACATACACACACACACAGACACTCACACACTCACACACACACTCACACACTCACACACACTCACACACACACTCACACACACACTCACACACAGAGAGGCGAGCCTCGTGTTCCCACGTGTCTTCCCTGTCGTGTGAGTGTCACACAGAGACTCACAGACACACACACACATACACACTCTCACACACACACACAGAGAGGCGAGCCTCGTGTTCCCACGTGTCTTCCCTGTCGTGTGAGTGTCACACACTCACTCACACTCACTCACACACACACTCACACACACTCACACACACAGAGACACACACAGAGACTCTCACACACTCACACACACTCACACACACACACTCACACACTCACACACACAGAGAGGCGAGCCTCGTGTTCCCACGTGTCTTCCCTGTCGTGTGAGTGTCACACACACACACAGTCACACACACACAGACAGACACTCACACACACACACACAGAGAGGCGAGCCTCGTGTTCCCACGTGTCTTCCCTGTCGTGTGAGTGTCACACACAGAGATACAGTCACACACACACACACTCACACACACACTCACACACTCACACACACAGAGAGGCGAGCCTCGTGTTCCCACGTGTCTTCCCTGTCGTGTGAGACACACACACACACAGAGATACACACAGAGACTCACACACTCACACACACTCACACTCACACACACACTCACACACACACACACAGAGAGGCGAGCCTCGTGTTCCCACGTGTCTTCCCTGTCGTGTGAGTGTCACACACTCACTCACACAGACACACACTCACACAGAGACTCTCACAGAGACTCACACACAGACTCACAGAGAGGCGAGCCTCGTGTTCCCACGTGTCTTCCCTGTCGTGTGAGACACACATACACACACACACACAGAGATACACACAGTCACACACACATACACACTCACAGAGAGGCGAGCCTCGTGTTCCCACGTGTCTTCCCTGTCGTGTGAGTCTCTCACACTCACACACAGAGATACACACACTCACACACACACACACTCACACACAGAGACTCTCACTCACACACTCACAGAGAGGCGAGCCTCGTGTTCCCACGTGTCTTCCCTGTCGTGTGAGTCTCTCACACTCACACACACACTCACAGACACTCACAGACTCACACACACACTCACAGAGACTCACACACACTCACACACAGAGAGGCGAGCCTCGTGTTCCCACGTGTCTTCCCTGTCGTGTGAGACACACATACACACACACACACAGAGATACACACAGTCACACACACATACACACACACAGAGAGGCGAGCCTCGTGTTCCCACGTGTCTTCCCTGTCGTGTGAGACACTCACAGAGATACACACAGACACACACACACACACAGTCACACTCACACACACACACACACAGAGAGGCGAGCCTCGTGTTCCCACGTGTCTTCCCTGTCGTGTGAGTGTCACACACTCACACACACACAGACACACACAGAGACACTCACACACAGAGACTCTCACACTCACACACACACAGACTCACTCACAGAGAGGCGAGCCTCGTGTTCCCACGTGTCTTCCCTGTCGTGTGAGTGTCACACACTCACACATACACACAGACACACACACACACACTCACACATACACACAGACACACACACACACACTCACACAGAGATACACACACACACACAGAGACACACTCACACACACACACACAGAGAGGCGAGCCTCGTGTTCCCACGTGTCTTCCCTGTCGTGTGAGACACTCACACACAGAGACACACACACACTCACACACACACACTCACACACACAGACACACACACAGACACACAGACTCACACACACACACACACAGAGACTCACACACACACACTCACACACACACACAGAGAGGCGAGCCTCGTGTTCCCACGTGTCTTCCCTGTCGTGTGAGACACTCACACTCACACACACAGTCACACACACACACAGAGACACACAGAGACACACACACTCACACTCACACACACAGACTCACAGAGAGGCGAGCCTCGTGTTCCCACGTGTCTTCCCTGTCGTGTAAGACTCTCACACACAGAGATACACACACACTCACACACAGACACACAGACACTCACACACACACACACAGAGACTCTCACACATACACACACATACACACACAGAGACACTCACACACACAGAGACACACTCACACACACACACACAGACTCACACACACACACACACACAGACTCACACACACACACACAGAGACTCTCACACACACACACAGACTCTCACACACACACACACAGAGACTCTCACACACACACACAGAGACTCTCACACACACACAGAGACTCTCACACACAGAGACTCTCACACACAGAGACTCTCACACACAGAGACTCTCACACACACACACACACAGAGAGGCGAGCCTCGTGTTCCCACGTGTCTTCCCTGTCGTGTAAGACTCTCACACACAGAGATACACACACACTCACACACAGACACACAGACACTCACACACACACACACAGAGACTCTCACACATACACACACATACACACACAGAGACACTCACACACACAGAGACACACTCACACACACACACACAGACTCACACACACACACAGACTCACACACACACACACAGAGACTCTCACACACACACACAGACTCTCACACACACACACACAGAGACTCTCACACACACACACAGAGACTCTCACACACACACAGAGACTCTCACACACAGAGACTCTCACACACAGAGACTCTCACACACAGAGACTCTCACACACACACACACACAGAGAGGCGAGCCTCGTGTTCCCACGTGTCTTCCCTGTCGTGTGAGACTCTCACACACTCACACTCACACAGACACACAGAGATACAAAAACAAAGAAAAACAAAGATCCCCCGTATAGCCTTAACAGACTGTAGGGGCAAGTGCTGTTAGCGAGCACCTATGAAGGCCGGAACGGTACACGAGGGGGTGGGTGGCCAGCACCACGCCCGACCGCCTTTGTCTCCCCAGTGGCGATATTTACACACCGCACCAGGTACTCATTTTGAGGCTGAGTCGACCTAGGGGAGGCCCGGGACCGGTTCAGATAATCGTCACTGGTGTTGGCCGTGAGCGGGAATCGAACCCGGGTCGCCAGGTTCATAGCGCAGCGTAGCGCTAACCACTACACTACCGCTCCCCACACACACACACTCACACACACACACACAGAGAGGCGAGCCTCGTGTTCCCACGTGTCTTCCCTGTCGTGTGAGACTCTCACACATACACACAGTCACACACACAGAGACTCACACACACACACAGAGACTCACACACACAGAGACTCACACACACACACACACACTCACTCACACACACAGACTCTCACACACTCACACACATACACACACAGACTCTCACACACTCACACACACACACACAGACTCACAGAGACTCTCACACACACACAGAGACTCACACACACACACAGAGACTCTCACTCACACACTCACACACACACACAGAGAGGCGAGCCTCGTGTTCCCACGTGTCTTCCCTGTCGTGTGAGACTCTCACTCACTCACACACACACACTCACACACAGAGACTCTCACACACACACACACAGACTCTCACACACATACACACACAGACTCACACACACACAGAGACACACTCACACACACACAACAACAACAACAACAACCGCCATTCGCCACTAAGTGGCGGTGACGTCACCACGACGCTTGTGCCAGGCTATGTGCACCCTGAGGCCACGTGA